TAGAGACGTGCCGGTTCAACTCCTTCATATAGGCATCCCCGAAGAGCAGACCTTGGCGTCTGAGCCCAGTTCCTTGGATGCCAAATCAGACAACTTGCCATTCAGTTTGTAAAGGGCCGCCTTGTGGCATTTGGAGGAGAGGGCCACAATTGGTGTTTCCTAGTAAACATATAGCCCGCTGACTAAGAAGAGACACCAAAAGTGTCTGTAAATACCAAGAGCTGGCCTAGAATATGGCTGCAAGTGAGTGTATACCTATATATAAAAGAGCATATATATATATAGTGGTGCTGTACCTTTAAGAGAGATCTAAATAGCAAAGATAAAAACAGGATAAATGTAATTCAATAAATTGGTGCTAAATAATGGATATAGAATGGATAAATAAGTGAATGAATAAAAATGTGAGAAAGTAAAAGTTAAAATAAATAAAAATAAAAAAATAAATAAAAATAAAAATAAAAGTCAAAGTAACAATGAAAGTAAAAATGAAAGTAAAAATGTATCTGGAACAGCAGTGTTCACATCAGGAAAAGTTCATATAAGTGTTACCAGATGGTATTATGTCAGACCTATGCAGAGACCTTCGGATTAGATAAGGATGGATATAGATTGAAATTCTTGCTGCTTATGATGATACCGCCGGAGAAGACAGCGTGTTCGTTCATCATGCGTCCCTGCGGGAGCCTCACTCCGGAGAGACGTGTGTTGTGAGCGGCTTCGTTTCAGTAAATAAACCAACAGGTCCTGGAAGAATGCTGACTGCGAATAACGTGCGTGTATTAGATCTGGATCCTGATATGTGTCCAATAGTCTTACGCATTTCGTAGGTGTATCCCTACTTCTTCAGAGACGGGTGGAGAACCAGTGCTGTAATAGTGCTTTATATACATATTATATTAATCAATCAATGTGATTTTCTATGTATCCAATTCTATATTTTACATAATGCAAATGACATAATGGCATAATGTACAGATGGTAAATATGATATAATAAAAAAAACAAAAAAAGAACAGAAAATGTGTATATAGAAACAAATTATATAAAAAACAGATTATACATACAGGGTCTAATTATACAATTATAAGAACATATTTTATCACTTAGAATTAAAACATTCCAAAGAACAAAATTTGATAATGGAAATATAGATAAAATCAGAAAGATCAAAAACGTTTTTTACAGGAGAAATAATTATAGTTACATAGTTACATAGCTGAAAAGAGACTTGCGTCCATCAAGTTCAGCCTACTTCACATTTGTTTTTTGCTGTTGATCCAAAAGAAGGCAAAAAAACCAGTTTGAAGCACAATTTTGCAACAAGCTAGGAAAAAAATTCCTTCTTGACCCCAGAATAGCAGTCAGATTTATCCTTGGATCAAGCAGTTATTACCCTACATTGAAAGATTATATCCTTGAATATTCTGTTTTTGCAAGTATGCATCTAGTAGCTGTTTGAACATCTGTATGGACTCTGATAAAACCACTTCTTCAGGCAGAGAATTCCACATCCTGATTGTTCTTACAGTAAAAAAACCTTTCCTTTGCCTTAGACGAAATCTTCTTTCTTCCAGTCTAAACGCATGGCCTCGTGTCCTATGTAAAGTCCGGTTTGTAAATAGATTTCCACACAATGGTTTGTATTGGCCCCGAATATATTTGTATAATGTTATCATATCCCCTCTCAGGCGACGTTTTTCTAAACTAAATAGGTTTAAATTTGTTAACCTTTCTTCATAGCGATATGTTCCATTCCTTTTATTAATTTTGTAGCCCGCCTCTGCACTTTTTCTAGTGCCATAATATCCTTCTTTAGAACAGGTGCCCAAAATTGCACAGCATATTCAATATGGGGTCTTACCAGTGATTTATAAAGAGGCTAAATGATATTCTCGTCCCGAGAATGAATGCCCTTTTTCATGCATGACAATACCTTACTGGCCTTGGCCACTGCTGATTGACATTGCACATTGGTAGAATTGGTAATTGGTAGAAAAAGATTCCATTTGATAAACATAATACTGGGAAAAGAGAAAAGAGAAACAGGATTAGTTAAATTATATATATTTGGACATGATATAATGCCTTTAGATACATGACCCAAATGCATGAATCAATCGACACCCCAGCAACAGCAGACCTGGGGGAGAAAGAGAGGGGAAAAAGAGGGGGAATAGAGAGATGGGGAGGGGGAGAAAGAGAAAGGGAAGAATGAGACACAGGGGAGAAAGAGGGGATAGAGATGGGGAGGGAAAAGAGAGGAAAGAATAGAGACAGGGGAGAAAAGAGGGGAAGAGATGGGGAGGGAGAAAGAGAGGGAAGGAATGAGCCACAAAGGGGGAAAAGAAGAGATAGAGATGGGGAGGGAGAAAGAGAGAGGGAAGAATAGAGACACAGGGGGAAAAGAGGGGGATAGAGTTATGGGGAGGGGGAGAAAGAGACAGAGAGGAAGAAGAGACACAGGGGGAGAAAGAAGGGGAATAGAGAGTTGGGGGAGGGGGAGAAAGAGGGAAGAATGAGACACAGGGGGAGAAAGAGGGGGAGGGGGTAGAAAGAGACAGAGAGGAAGAGAGATGTGAGGGAGAGAGACACAGGGAAAGGGGGGAGAAAGAAACAGTGGAAGAGAGAGAGACAGGAGGAAGGAGAGAGACACACAAGGGGAGGGGGAGAAAGAGGCCCTTATTGCGTGAGCACAGAACGTTGCCGCGGTTACCACGGCAACTTTACCGCTCTTGCGAGAGTCAACTGTAGCCCTGGAGCTATGGGCTAGAGTTCACTCTTAACACTGTGACCACCAGGGATTCCTGGTGGTCGCAGTGGTGAGAGTGAACTCTAGCCCCATAAACACACTGCCCCCACACACACACCATACACATTCACACACTGCCCCCACACACACACCATACACATTCACACACTGCCCCCCATACACACACACTGCCCCCACATACACCATACACATTTACACACATAGCCTCACACACACACATACACTGCCCACCTATATACACACAGACCCCCATACACAGACCCCCATACTAACATTGCCACACACATACACAGCCCCGTCATACACACATTGCCCCACAAAACCTACACATTCACACACTACACACACACTGCACCCCTCACACATTGCACCACTGCTCCTATACCCTACTACAGCCCCATATCTCAGCAGACCCAAGGTAAGTTCTCAAACTGTTCTTAAACGGTTTGACTACTTACTCTGGGAGGGGGCCCGGCCCTCCTGGCACCATAATCACTACACAGAGCAGTAGTGGTTATTGTGCATGGATTATTTCTTTAAATAATCTACAAGTGCCCCAGTAGCCAGCCAGCCCACAGGCCGGCCAGCCAGCCAGCCAACCCACAGGCAGCCCACAAGCCACCAGTTAGCCAGCCCACAGGCCAGCCAGGCCAGTAGCCAGCCCACAGGCCTACAGCAAGCCAGAGGCTTACAGCCAACAAGCCCACAGCCTGCCAACCGCAGCCAGCAAGCCACAGCCTGCCAGCCACAGCCAGCAAGCCCACAGACTGCCAGCAAGCAACAGTAATTAAGGTAAGAGGAGCCAACTTGGCCTAGGTATCAGCGAGCTATGTTGTATTGCTATATTGTGAATAGCAACCAGAGTGTTGGAGAGACCCCCTTCCAAGCCTATTAGACTCCATTGTAGTCTCTAATGGGGCTTGGAGGGGATTCTTTCTAATAAACTTTCTAAAGGACACTGAGATAGCCTCTGCTAGAAAGACCCTCCTCCATGGCCCATTAGCCCTCAATTGTAGTCTCTACTGGGGCCTCGAAGGCATTATTGCACTTTTTTTCCTGGTGTCTAAAGATTGTTTAGGGTGTGGCTGGAGGCGGGACAAGGGTGGCGCTTGCTGCGGAGTATGGGTGGGGCCTGTAAGGGGGCCCTTGATTTATTTTGCCCGGGGGCCCTGAGGGTTCTCAGTCCGCCCCTGGTCTGACATCATACCATCTGGTAACACTTATATGAACTTTTCCTGATGTGTATTTTTTAACTATATGTATTTTTTATTATTTTTTTATATATATTTTATATTTTAACATTATTTGTCCAATAAACTGGCTTTTATTCCTATAAAGTTTGAGAACCATTGCTTTATATCTGTTGTTGTTACACTGTGTAACAATATTTTAGCCTGCAGTTCCTCATACTGTATTGCTACAATATGATACATTTTTCTATGTATATCCATACTAGATACTAAGTTTATCATATATCATTTGGTACAGGTGCCAGTCATTCTGCTCTATAGCAGTAATAAAGACACTTGCACTGCACACTTCTGTTCCAGATACATTTTTACTTTCATTTTTACTTTCATTGTTACTTTTTTATTTATTTTTTATTTTTATTTATTTTAACTTTTACTTTCTCACATTTTTATTAATTTAGTTATTTATCCATTCTATATCCATTATTTATCATCAATTTATTGAATTACATTTATCCTGTATTTATCTTTGCTATTTAGATCTCTCTTAAAGGTACAGCACCACTATATCTATATCCTCTTTTATATATAGGTAAACACTCGTAGCCATATTCTGGGCCAGCACCTGGTATTTACAGACACCTTTGGTGTCTCTTCTTAGTTATTCTTTTATAGGTTTTAGTGGATCCTTATTTTTCCCAGTTCTTTGAGTAGCCTAGCGCCAGTCCTACTCCCTCACCTCAGGGTAACACATTAGGTATACCAGTATCCATTATCTCACATATAGCCCGCTGAGCCCATTCTCGGAGGAGACTAGCATCAACCGAGGTTCTGTTTTGTAGGGTGTCATCCGCCATGAGGAACATCTGTATCAGCTGGCCACTGACATCCAGGAGCTTGTCCTGTGAAGACCCTGTTCCAGGCCCTTGCGACGGTCCTTTCCAGAGTTATTCATGATGGTGGAAAAACCGTGTCAGAGTCAGGAGTAAGTGCAACTTTATCCAGCAACATAAGCTAGGTTCATTCTGCCTTAAGTTTCACTCTAACCTTCTTATCCAAGGGGTAAACCAGTAATCCAGAGGGCCCAATTCTGCGTAGCAGAGGTGTTTAATGAGCCGTGGATCGAAGAGGGGGCAGCCCGAAGGGTAAAGGATCTCTCCCTGGTCATCAGCAGAGGTTGGTGGAGCCCTGTGATGATCGGTCAGTGGAGAGTCTAACAATGTCTCCCGCACATAGCGTGATTGGCCGCTTAAAATTCCCTCACCAGGAGATGCGGCACCAGAGGTGTCGGCCCGGTATTCATCCAGGGCATCATAACCCTCCTCCATCAGGTGGTCGTCTGAACAGGAGGCCATCCTGGCAAATTTTGCAGGCATCTTCCCTTTGTCTGTAGGAGCACCATGGTCCTTCTAAGGTCTCTTACATGCGGAGCCCATATCCACAGAACGGAGGGAATCACCCAAATCAGAGCCCAGAGGTGCCGAGTGCAGGTTCCGGGGGGGCGATGGAGTGTCACCATGGAAGGCAGCAAGGGCTTTCGGTAATGAGTCCGCTATGGCGGCACAGAGCCAAGCCTGAAGACCTTCTGGGGCATGAAAATCTGCTTCATCAGCCATGACTGTGCAATTGAGGCAAGACACCATCAATGTGGTGCCTGGGGGGGCCAGCTGGGGGTCATCCAGCATGCAAGAGGGGGTCATCCAACAAGCACAAGCATACCATGCAGTATAGAATATAAACAAAAAAGCGCAAAATTTTTAAAGATAAAAGGTGATTCATATTGACCTTAAAAATGAGATTTTGTAGAAAGTGTCAGCGCTTCAGAAAGTCTTATCCTTAATAGTTAAAAAAGGAAAAATTGATTGTATAAAACCATATGTTCTTGTAGGTATAATATTGATACACCTACACGGTAGTAAATATGCCTTGATAAAACAAATTCACTGTGTACCTGATGTCATCGTCAGGAATAGGGTGGTGTTGATAATCCA